ACCTTTAATTTGGGAAAATTGTTAAAAAATCCTAAACTCATTGCACTTCTGCCAATTCAGTCATAAGCCTTTTAATTGTGTCAATTTAGTCCGAATCCTTTTCATATTTTCCCAATTGAGTTCATTCAGCCAATTTTGGTCGGAAATTGCTGACGTGGACACTGATCATCCTACGTGGCACAATCGGCGCTGACATGAATAATTTTTAATAATATTCTAATATTTTTTTCGAATTCTTTTATTTTTCCTCTAGTCGATCATTGGGCCTCGGTGATGGCCAAAGATCGGCCTAGGACGAGGCTTGACCTCAATGGCTCTGGGCAAAGGCCGCAACCCCCTTGTCGGCCACTAGGCAACGGCTCGTAGCGGCCCTCATTGGCCTCTAGGCAAGACCGCTACGACCCTCCCCCAGGCCCTCATCAGCAAGCGAGGACGTCGTGGCCCTCGCCCAAAGCTAGTGTGGGCTACGACGCCCTCGCCGGCCATCACTATAAAAACCAAAAATAATGTAAATAAAAAGAAAAGTCATAAAAAAATTCAAAATATTATAAAATATTATTTTAAAATGTCAATGTCAACGACAATCATGCTACGTAGGACGGTTGGCGTCTACGTCAGCAATTTCCGGCCAAGGTGGGTCGAATGAACTCAATTGACAAATTATTAAAAGATTTAGGATTCAATTGGCAAAATTGAAAAGTTTAGATTAAATTGACAAAAGTGCAATAGGTTTAGGATTTTGTAGACAATTTTCGCCCACCAAGTTGACTGCTATCGGATAAGCAAGATGTGATTTTACTGTGCAATTAATAGCTATAGAGGTGCCAAGGAATATCGAGAATCTTCTACACAATTTATTTCACTTTTTTTTTGTCACAGTTTAATATATTTATTTCTCTTTTTTCATTATTTTTTTTGGCAAAGCTTCCAAGCAAAAGAAACTGTTTCGAGAGATTATCTAAATGGTTTTCTTCTCTTCTAATCTCCAGTGAGTGTTCACAATCACAAGCAAATGAGTCCAAAGATGGCAACAACAGAAGGCTGAGGAAGTTACATATTTAATAGAGGGTTGCAATAAGCATAATCAATGACGTGAAGCATTCCTGCTTTTAGTTTTCTACACTCGAGACATTGTTAGGCATCTTTTGCTGTTTTAAAAATTGTTTATAAGTAATTACTATATTTATGGATTTAGGAATATCATTTCACGGACAAATTTTATTGAGAGAAACGAGATAGTGATATGTATGAATGTATGTTCTCTTAATAAGTATGTTTCCATATATGTTTTTCTCATGATAGCATGTGTTATAAGGATGATGGCATTTTCCCACCTAAGATATCAAGTGTCAAGTGAACCAGCTAAGATAGCTGGCATCAAATTTGTTCTATGATTGTTGTCAGTTCATATCTTCTTTAACTTATTTGACAAGGCTACGAATCAACTATTTCATTTGAGTGAATCAAATGTCGATTCAGGCATCGATTTCGAATTAAACAGTATCGTAATGCGGTAATTAATGTTGGTAAGGTGAATATGACCTGTCGAACCATAGCACGGTTTGCCTGAGCGATGCCACTCACAGCTTAAAAGCAATGCACGAAGCAATAATACACTTGGCAAATCGAAGCGTTGGCTTTTCGGGGACAGAAATTTAGCTCAAAGAATATAGTAGTGTGTAATGGACCATTTCACTTTGTTCATGAAATTTAGTACAAAGACTAGTAAGATACTCGTGCATTTCGTTGGCTTTAAGTACCTCTGTACCATATATTACATGATTGTGAGATTATCTTTTAATATCACATTCCACATTGTCGAAAATCGAAATTTTGACAAAAATCAAATAGATGTGTAAAAGCCGAATTAGACTGAAATGTATGTATTTATGAAATGGTTCTAAGCATGTTAAAAAGAACTTCTGTAAAGTTTGACATAGTAATTCCTTCGGATTCACGTATATAAATTTTGATAATTAAATTTATGAAGAAAATGATGTTTTAAAATGATATACTTGTGATGGAGTTGTTGCTCGAGGATCAGTTGTACATTTTATAGTTTGCTAATACAAGTAACTGTTATCGGAAAAAAAAAATTATGAGTCAATATTATAGAAACTTGTAGTATGTTGTTTTGTCGTCATCCAATTCATTCGATTGAAGTAAGATTGATGACATTATGTGTTATACATAAACTTTTGTTTCAATTTTTACTGGAGATATGCAATGAAGTAAGATCAAAATGAAGAAGGGGGATTTCTTCATGTAATGTGTAAATTTTTATGTATTGAAAAGAATGATGTAGAAACATTATTAAAAATAAAGTATAAGACACAAATGATATAAATCAATTACATGGAGTTGGTAAGTTCAAATCCCACTTTCACCAATTTCATTCTCTCCCAATGACCGGGAAAATTATTCAAAAAATCGTAAATCTATCGTACGACGGCTAATTTAGTTCTAAATTTTTCAATTTGACCAATTTAATCCTAAACCTTTTGATAATTTTTCAATGTAATCTTTTCGGTTAATTTTGGCTTGAAATCATTGACGTGTGGACATGGCTGTCTCATGTGACACGACTGACGTTGACGGGATTATTTTTGCAATTTTTTTAAAATTTTTTGAATTATTGATTTTTTCCATTTCTTTCTTTCTTTCTTTTTTCTTTTTTTTCCTTTTCTTTTCCTTTTCTCCTGTGGCCAGTCTCAATGATGGTCGAGAATCGGCCACAAACAAAGGCTTCGCTCACCCGGATCTCGGCAAGGGTTTCGTGGCCCTCGCCGGTCACCTCTTGCCAGATTTAGGCAAGGGGTGGTCAGCAAAGGTCAACCTTACCCATGGCCAATCATTGGCCATTGTCAAGACCAACCATTTCGAAAAGGAAATGAATAGGGAGAAAAAGAAAAGAAAAACCGGGAACAGATCCAATAGAGATGGGTAGGGGTGTCAAAAATCGAACCGAAAACCGAAATCGAACCGAACAAAACCGAATGTCCGCACAATCGGAATTTGGCCAAAGGCCGGTGCTTTCGGTGAGGCCGAGGAAGTGAGGGGTCCGGGTGGTGTGGAGGTGGCGGATGCGGTCTGGGACGACGGAGAGGACCTCAGAGGCGCGGCGGAGGGCCTCGGCCTGGGGGGCTGTGAGGCGGGCTGAGAAGTTGCCGGTGGTGGCTCGGTAAGTGTAAAGGATCTGGGAAGGAGGGTCTAAGGGTGGGAGGGAATGGAGGAGGGAGGAGTACCAGTGGTGGTGGGTGGAGAAGAGGGAGGGCTTGTGGGAGGATGAGGCATGGATGATGAAGGTCTGCTGGGGCTGTGGGGTGATTGCTCTTGTGGGGTTGAGAGAGATGGAGTGATGAAGAGCACGAGGATGAGGAAGAAGGTGGAGGAGTGAGAGAGATTGGCCATGGATGAAGATGACTATTCTTCGATGAGGAAGAAGATGGTTGCGAGCGGGAAGAAGAGGACGACGATGAAGAAGAAGGAGAAGAGGACGAAGTAGAGGAGGAGGAGGAAGAAGAGGGGACCCAAAACCGAAAACCAAGCTGTGAATAAAAAGCGAAAAAAAAAAAGAAAAAAGAAGAAAAAATCGAATACCGAACCGAATCAAATCGGTTTTTCGGTTCGGTTCATATTTGGTTCGAGCGAGATTTGGTTCGGTTCAAGGGTGCACCCCTAACGGTTCGGTTCGGTTCGGTTTTTCAACAAAACCGAACCATTTACACCCCTAGAGATGGGGCGGGAAAAGTTTTGAAGTTCTTAAAAAAACTACAAAAATTGTTCACATTAACGGCTATGCCCCATGAACAGATGGTGCTAATTAGATCGCCGTGTCAGTGATGTCCAACCAAAATGGGCAAGAAGGGCCACATTGGAAAATGTCAAAATATTTAAGATTAAATTGGTATAATTAAAAATACTAAGACTAAATTGGCCGCGATACAATAAATTTAAAACTTTGTGGTCCATTATCCCTCTATTGTACAACCTTCAAAACCCTACCTTCCTATGTTTTTATATGTGGGGCGATTGAACTTGAAGATCTTTAGTTGGATGATTTAGTTATGTTGTCGTCGCATCGAGTCGAGTTCGGGGATTTTGTAAGCAGGGCCGAATACGATATACATTTCATAAGTATGATAATGGATTTGACCTAAAACATGGATACATGAGTTTGTCATCGAAAAGCTGTGACCAACCATCAAGTGCGGGAAAGTGTCAAAATCCCGTTGGTAAGAAAAAATGACCGGTGACTAAGTTTTTTCTAAGTAACATGTCAATAATTTCTCAACACCTATATGAAATTACACACTTTTTTTGTAGTTTGCAAAGTAGCAATTTTTGTAATAAATTACCAAATTTCATTTGCATAACTTACCATCAATTTCGAATTTACTAACTCTTATATAAATTACCAACTTAAATTAGAATGATTTGCCAACTTTTGTCAAACTAAAGTACTTGTTAGTTTTGCATTACAAATTCTCATTTGAGTTACTTTTCGATGTATATTTTTTATCTTTATAATTTATCAAATTTTTATTGAGTTACTAATGTTTTATTGGGTTAATACCATTAAAATCCTAAACTAGTGCCCATTAAATATTTATCCCAAACTAATTGAAGTTCCAAACTGATTTTTTTTTGGTTAAGACCAAAACTCTCTCTAAAAGTCTTTGTTTGGCTTGAGTGACCGGTCCATCAGGCTGATTTCACATAACAAAGATTCACCGCATTCACTTTACGTGTCTTATATTAGAACTAGATTGGGTAAAGATATGAATAAGTAGAAACAACGGGTAGATAATCCATCAAATTTTCAATTCAAGTTCCAAAAAGAAAAAGAAAAAGATTGCTCCATAACATTCTGAAACAGACCTAATTTGCGACTTGGCAAGGGCATTGATTGCTCGTATGCACAACAAAATGAACAGTACATCACATGAATTGTTCACTAAATTCGTGTACTTTTCCATCCCACATTTTCACATGAAAAATAGAAAGAAAGATGATGATTTCATAGTCCTTTTCCACTGTTTACCATGTAAGGGAAAGATAGCAAGAGCCCTGATTGTTTCTCACTAACTAGGCTTGAATATCTCCAAACAACAATATCAGCAAAGACCAACATTAACTTATGCTACGAACCCTATTGATGACTACGCTTTATTCTTTTCAATCCAGAACCTGACTTTCTTGATTCTAAAATTCCATCCAGCTACATTGAGAAAATAAAGTGAAGCGGAACATTCATATAAACATTGTGTGCTAAAATTCCCATAAACCCATCTTTTGCACTTGATTCATGAGCCCTGCAGGAAGTTGTCAACTCTGTTGTTTGCCGCCCTGGATAAGAACTTCATGCAAATCGGCGGCTTCACACCCGAGAGGGCGAGTACGGAGCTCGGCAGAGTCCATATGCCGTCCCCACAAATCAGTCCCGAGGCAACCGCTGGTCCAAATGCATCGGCCTTGGCCTTGTCGATCCTCTCCCACAAGTACAGAATCAGGCTACCAACGCACATGTCGATAGCAAAGTACGATCCCAAGTAAAACGGAATTGCCATGGCCATCGGGACCGGGATGAACCTGGAGTACTTCTTGGGGACAAAGTCCCTGATAGCATTTATGACTATTGCAGCCGCGAATAGTCCATAGCAGAGACTGAGGCAGTGTTTGGGCAATGACGAAAATCCCTCCACTCCCAATATAGCCATGCTCCGGTAGATGCTGGCATAAGGGGCGGGGTACGCGCTAGTCTTAAGACCTAGGTCCTTGAATGCCTTGTAGAACAGCCAGAAGACACAGGGAGATATGACACAGCCCATGGCTGTCCCAATCACCTGGCTCACAAACATGGACCGAGGGGAAGCCAGCGTCAGATAACCAGTCTTGAAGTCCTGAGTCAGATCGGAGGCTGTGGAGACGATGTTCATCATGACCCCGCAAGCGGCGAGGCCGGCAAGGACCCCGCCGTGGGACGCGCCGGCCCACGACCCAATCACGAAGATGGCGAGCTTCCCATAGGTCGACGCGAGGGACCAGTCTGTGAGCCCGCATCCATATGCATTGCAAAAGGCCAAGGTGGGGGCCGCGAGGTACATGACCAGTATGTGGTACCACTTGAGCTGATGGAATATGTGAGGGAGAGATATGATCGATATTATTGCGATCACAATGTAGCCTCCGATGGCGAAACTAGTGGGGATTTGGTCCTTGAGGAAGAGGCTTGTTCGGCGTTGATCATCAAAGGAGAGCTGAGGCGACTCAGGGGGAGAGCTGCTCGCGACCCTCGGAAGACTGTTTTTTCCTTTGACTTGATTAAACAAACCGACAAGGGTCCGGCTCAACACTTTACAGAAATTGTAGAGGCCGTCACCAAGGATCATGGCAATGGATATGAATACCTATTCATAAAATATCGCGTGTCAACGAAGAGGAGCATAGCAATAAAGATAAAGAGTTGAGCCGAGTTGAGCCAAGCCATTCTTCAGGAACGATTAACATTACCTTGTAACCTTGAATGCCGTGCATGTCGCCCGGATCTGGTTTAGGATACCAGTCGCCCTCTCTTTTCTCAATAAGAGGCCACATCAAGCCCCAAGACAGTATCCCACCAAGAAGCAGCGATATGTTAATGATGTAGGGGCAGATCATCCCGACACCAACGTACGTTGCAGAAAAGTCAAAGTAGAACCTGCATATATGCCCAAAGAATCACCTAAACAATTCCTCTGTTTACATTAGGCCTAGCTGAAATACATTCTAAATAGAATGAGGACAGAAATTTAATCTTCAGATAAATTGAAACCGCGTCTCATGATCACCTGTTCTCAAAAGCTCTCAGTCCCAACGTTGGAAAGTTTGCAAACCCACAGCCATCTGCAGCAGTGTAGAACCACTGGAAGAATCCCCACAAGAAACTGAATGAGAAGAATTTCCCCAGCGCTCTCACTTGTTTCCTGCACGATCACGAGAAAGCATGCCCATAAGAACAGGCAGGATCAAATTACAACAAATCTAATACACGCTACTAACTTAGCTAGCTTGGCTCCTTCCGGCGTGTGGAAACTGTTGATAAGATGAGCAGTCGCAGTGCCACTTGGATATGTCAATTTAAAATCGATGATCATGATCTGCGAGGAGAAAATATGATTATGCAAACCTGTAACTAAAGAAGAAATGATATCCATGTTCTGCTCTTAGGACCGTCAAATGTAATTACCTTCCTGAGAGGCACCACTGCCATGAGCCCCAGAAAACTAACAATGAAGAGGAAGCCAATCATCCATGCCAATGACAGTTCCTTGTAGTCATTCTCACCGGGGCCGCTCCCCAACTGTTTGGCAATGCGATCGCTCATTCCAAACAAATAGCTTCCAAAACCACCTGCTCAATTGAGATTGGAAAAGAGAGAGACGATGACGTAGAATGTTCATGTAGTTATTACAATCAAGTATATATCAATGAATGTAAGAGCAACATATGAGCAGCGTCCAACACTGTCATATTGTAAGAGACGCTTTCGCATAAACGTGAATTTGGTCCGGCAGATGAGCAAAGCCGTGGTCTTTTGACAAGAATAGAAGCAATTCATGTAGGCTCGAAACGATAAACAAATTAAACAAACCGGCTGATGAAAGGAACCTTGGAAAGAAACTAGGATCAGGTCCACTCTGCAAACTCTCGCAAAGCACTCTCCTATGGTATAGTATAATGTCAAGGGTACAATTTCGGCTGAATAAGATTCAGTCCAATTTCAACTTGGAATTTATCCTGGTGAAGCCGGCAATAGTCCAATCTCAGTATTCATGAGACATGAATTTGGTAAAAATTGAAACTTCACAGTGATATCTGCCAGACAGATTAATCTCCATAGATCACAGACTAACTGATTCAAAATAATATTTTCAGAAGTCGTAAAAACTCCTTCTTCATTCGATATAACCATACTGATTTGGCCCAACCAAAATAAAACAAGACCGATGCCAAAAAGCATAAGACATTTTTCAAGAATAATACAACACATGCGTCCGCAATCAACATCTACTAAAAAATATTGTTTGAGAAAGAACAAAAATGGTCTAAAAACCCACGATTAAGCAGACAAAAGAATTAAGAGCAGGCTAGTTTTGTTTCCAATAACTGCCCAAAAAAAAAGAAAAAAAAATTTTAAAAATGAAAATGATAGACTCAATTTGCTATTTTTTTTTGGTTAATACCACGAAAAATCCTAAACTGGTACATCCGTGATAAATTTACCCCAAACTAATTTTTTGACCATGAAAAACCCCAAAACTAATTTTTTTACCTCGAAAAACCTCAAACTGGTACTAATGACAATTTTACCTCAAACTAATTTTTTCACCACAAAAAACTACAAATTAGTACACATGTGACAGATTTAACCCAAACTAATTTTTTTTACCATAAAAAATCCTAAATTGGTAATCTTGTGACAAATTTACCATCCATTAGCAAATCGATTTTGGGTTTTTCGTGGTATTTAGCCTATAGATTTCCACGTGGACTTGTCATGTCACTATACCACGTCACTATGTGTCATCCACATTAACAAACTTAACGGTAAAATTTGACGGAAATTAATGGAAGGTAAATTTATCACATGTGTACCAGTTTGGGATTTTTCATGGTAAAAAAATTAGCTTGGGGTAAAATTGTTACAAATGTACCAGTTTGGGGTTTTTGGTGGTCAAAAAATTATAGTTTGGGTAAAATTGTCATTGTTGTACCAGTTTAGGGTTTTTCGTTATCAAAAAATTAATCTGAAGTAAAATTATCACGGGTGTACCAGTTTGGGGTAAAATTATCATACCGGTTTGGGATTATTCGTGGTATTAACCTTTTTTTTTTGTCAAAAGAACTGTTTTCCCTTTTTTTTCTTGGCTCAATTTGTATTTCTCAATGAAAACCAATTTTTTTCTATATTAAAAACCAATTTTTTTTTCTATTGTGGAATTAAAGGGAAAACAGCAACAAACAAATCTACCACATTAACGCACAGATCACAGAGTAGCTGAGATTTTCCCTCAGCAGACTCTCCAAGAACAGCAGATTCCCAGGCCACAAATCATACCACAAAACCAATCTTCCACTCTCTAATCAAACGAGACAACGTGATACAAGTCACACAAATAAAAAAAAGACAGAGCAAAATCATTTTTTTCAAGAGTAAAATGGGCTTGAAGTGGTCGTTACCGCTAAAGGTGATCCCAGAGGAGGCAACAACACAGGTCTGGATCACGGTGTTCTCTTGCCTCGTGAAGGGGACCTGCAACATCCCGGACTTCTCCAGCACTTTGGTCCAAGTCTTGACGAAGAAGAAGCCCAGGAGCCCAGCGGACACGTTCAGGGACGGGATGATCCCGGTTGTCAGGTTCAGCTTCATCACGATGAAGCTGAACAAGACGCTGAGCACGAAGCTCACCACGAAGGCCCTCACCGTCAGTTGTTGACTCCATGGCGGGACCACCTTGCTCTCGAACACCCTCTCCACCGACATCTTCATCTCTTCTTCCTCTTCCTCCTTGTCCTTCTTGTCATGCTCCTTGTTCTTGGGCTCGCCATCTGAGCCATACCCACTCTCTACCCTGTCGTCTCTACCCATTTTTCCACCAGAATTTCTCTCTTTTCTGACAGAGGAGGGGATCTTGGGTTGTGAATCTTTCTAGGAGGGGTATATATTTTTGTGGGTGTGAATCTTTTTCTTGTGGGTGGCTATACAGTGTAACAACCGGGCTATATATTTTAATTCTCTTTTTCTTGTTGAACACTTCCAAGTGAGGAAGTAATAGGGAAGGAATCAGCTATATGGAGGTCTTTTTGGTAATCAGATTGCGAATACGAAAGGCGTGATGAAGCATGAATGGAAACAAAGGGAGGATCCAGACAAATAGAGAGAGAGAGAGAGATTGACACTGGCTGTTTGTGGGCCGGGAGTCACAATCAACCTCCAACTCATATCAAGTTGTCTATTGGATTCTGATCTTGCCCCGTGATACATTCACCCTTGTGAGGTTTTTCCCCTGTTAAATGCGTTCACACTTCTCTTTTCTTCTTTTGCTTGGCTGTTTCGATTTCAGGGTATGCACACTGTATATCTTCTGGTCAATGAATGCGCAACAAGCATTCCGGGTATGAAAAGATCCACAGAAACTTAAACTTTGGTGGACTGTAGAACTCTCTTGCCATGCATACTGTGAATGGTCTCCATGTGCAGTGCTTCCCCTGATGGTCCATCTTGTAACTGAACAATCAGCTTAGCTATGCCCCAAAAAACATAAGAAGAAAGTCGTAATGACGTTAAATATCTCTCTCTTTAGAAAATTCAGATTCTTATGCCCAGTTTTCTGCACACCCCCAAATAATGCAGATCCCAGAAAGGAATGCAATTACACCAGAAAAGGTAGTTTCTCTTTTTGTGCCAAATTAACCACTATGTCCTTTCTTTTCTAATTATTTTTGCTGTATCTTGAATTACCAATTCATTAAGAGGTACCGAAGGCGAAGATTATACAACAAGAAAGAAACTTTCCACTCTGATTAAGCAGAATATCAGTTCTTATACATACCAGTGCAACTCAAACTGATATTCTTCCTGTGCAGTGAAAAGATGGATTTGCTAAACTGGCAGTTTTTCCTATGCAAATTTGGCATTGCGTTTATGGGTTTGGGATGTCATATATGCAACTGTTCACTCTTTGCAGCTCTCGTGCATATAGTCAAAGTGGTCATGGACAGCTCATGAACACCAAGTTGACTGCTGAGAGAAAAAGCTAGATGTGATTTTGCAGTGCAATTACAGCTATAGAGATGCCAAGGAATCTCGAGAATCTCCTGCACAATTTGTATTCACCTTTCTTTTTTTATCACAGTTTAATATATTTATTTCGCTTTCTTCATTAAATTTTTTATTGGCAAAGCTTCCAAGCAGAAGAAATTGATTCGAGAGATCATTTGAATTGTTTTCTTCTCTTCTATTTTCCAATGAGTATTCACAATCACAAGCAAATGAGTCCAAAGATGGCAACATCAGCATGGCTGAGGAAGCTACATATTTAATAAAGGGTTGCAATAAGCATAATCAATGACATGAATTCCTGCTTTTAGTTTTCTACACTCATGACATTATTAGGCATCTTTTGTCGTTTGTAAAATTGACTATGAGTAAATATTTTATTTATGGACTGAGGAATGTCATTACACAGATATAAAAGTCGATGATGCCATTTTCACACCTAAGATATCAAGTGTGAAGTGGAACAGCCAAGATAGTTGGCCACGAAAGAATTTTTAAAATAGACTAACGAGTGGACCACCATCGAATTCGGACGGTTATTCTTGTCATTTCGTATCTTCCTTAACTTATTTGACAAGGCTACAAATCAATTATTAAACAGTGTCATGCCTTGACATAAGAAGACAATATAAAGCACTCTATTAGGAGATAACAACGATATCATAACATCTCCAAGATATCATATAACATATATCGAGTTTGAGTTTTTCTCAATAAATTATTGTTCTGTTCTCGACATGCCAAATATGCTGCCCCTAATTTTGCTAGGCCGAATTAACGATATTAAAAAATAACGAGACTAACAACGCTCTTACCAAAGATCTACGCTTCGACACAGTTTCAATATGTTGTTGATCTCTCCTCTGTATCATTTATAAAATCGCTATATATGATTATTCATGTATATTGTTTATCATTTATAAAGCACCGTATGTTCGTACTATGCAAAATTGGTACATTAAAGAAGAAAAATATTTATTAGTTAAACATGATGAATAGATATCCAGAGAGCGTCGGTCGAAAAAGTCTTATCATATAAATTATTTCTTCCACTTTATGATGATATTTTGGGCCAGGATTTCAAAACAATGTGAAAATTGGATCACATGAACGTGGTTAAGATATCAATTCGAGGGGGAAGACAAGATGATCTCACATTGTCCTGATATCAAATCAGCATGAGATCATGATAGGGACGTAAATGCCTTGCAAAATTCATAAAATCAAATCGGCAAAAGGACAAGGCCCGAAGGGTCCATCTTGCCTGTCATGCTTAGGACTCCTTGCGTCCCCATTCCAAATCCCATTATTTTCATTGTCGTCCAATGTGGACGGGTATCGGGCATAGGGCATATATACATCATTGAAAGATCAATTTCGTCGTGGACATTGCGCAATGTCACAAATCGTAGAATTTTCATGGCGAATATATTGACTTTCCCATAACAATAATCGATTTATGATATTCATGGAATGGTGGTGAAGGGTGGGGCACTATAGATGCACTCAATAGTTTTTTCATCTTTTTTGTTGAAAATTATGGATACGAATTTATCCGATGACGCCGCTATCTGATTGCAAAATTGAAACGTCAAATTCCGTCACTCTTCATAACCCCCCATTGACCCGATTCTAATTTACCCGGAATTAGCGGACCCTATGGTCAGAAAAACGATACTAATAGTATAGTTGACTTACATTCATTATGTTTAGCCTCTTTTTTTCTATTCATGTGCAAGTGTGGAAGAGGGAAGCCCAGTTGACTTGAACATGCAATGACTAATTTACTTTCATCATGCATTTTCCCAAATTATTTTAAGAGCTACCCATCACTAGAAAGGGCACGAGGAATTATTAAATTTTATTTTTTCAACTTTCTAATAAAGTGAATCTGAAGATTCAATGGCTTGTTTGGGTAAGAGGAATGTTACTTAATGATTTCTCTTTTATTATAAAAATTTGAATCTCTTACGTATTTTAGATATGTTGATACGATTGGAGGGTTATACCATCCGTACTACTGGCCAAAGAGTACACACACGCATACGCGCGACGAATAAAAATAATTTTTTTTTAGAAAAGAAGATGAAGAATGGATTATTTTCCAATAAGATATTCGTGCTTGCTTTAGGGTGAACAACAAATTATCGTTATATTGGTGATCTAAAGATATAACACCTAAAATAAGTATGGTGCAGTCGAATATTTGTTTGAGGACTAAGGTGAACGAAGTCACTAAGTCCATTTGTAAGCAGTCGGCTTAAGTGGGCACAAATCATAATATTAAGTAACCGATAACCATGTCAATCATGAAAACGGATGCCGTAACTTTTGTCATAAGCCGTAGTACCATCGAGACATCGGCTTACGACAATATTTAGATGATAAAGAGCCACACTTCTCAGCACGGTTACAATTCGGCCACGATATGCTTATGCTAAACACAAAAGCATGTTCACTGTGTCTTTTCAAGGACTAGGAAGATACTATTCCAACTCTCCACCATACCTAACCTTTGACAAGTTTATTTGAGAAGACATCTTCATCACGGCCAGAGAGAAAGTTCCGTAGTGGGAATTTGACTCATCAAGATTCTCCAAACTCGTTGGTGAACATGTGCTGCCTTCTTTTTGATTATGGCTGAGAAAGGTGTTTCGGAGGAGATATGGATAATCGCAGGTGGACTAGACCTTTCAGAGCCTTTTGGAATTGGTTCTGCTTGTCTACTTCTTTATCGACCAAGAGAACCATAAAATGGAAATTTGAAAGCAGTGGGGAATATTTGCCTACTTGGAGAGTGCATTACGGGTTGTGCAACATCTTTCCCCCGTTCTAGGGAGCCTGATTGAGGGAAAAGTGCCAAAAATATCATAAATTTATTGCATTAGTACTATTTTGACCATAAATCTTTTAATTTGATCAATTTAGTCCTAAATATTTTTATGTTGATACCAATTTAGTCCATCCGGCTAATTCATTTTGTAAATCACTAACGTGGATACCGATGGTCCTACGTGGCATGACCGGTGCTGAGGCCGGCGTTTTAAAAAAAATTTGATATTATTTTTTTATAATTTCTCTTCTTCTGTTTTTTTCTTTCCCTTTCCTTTATGACAGGGACCAAGAAGAAATTTTTCTATGAGGATCGTTCAAATTAGCCAGTCCTAGAAGTCCTTTTTCCTATGACAATTGATAGAGACAATGTCGACAGATGATACAGTCGATATCTTCACCGTGGCTGCATTATACTCGCATTCAAATCGCCCATTTTTGGGCGCAATGACAGAATTGGGTTTAACTTGAGAGTATCAAATAAATTAAGGAAAGCGACACGAAAAATCATGCTTAATTTTGCTTTTTGTATATAGAAAATCGAATATTAACGGCTGTTAGGGTGTCGATTATTAGAGGTGATCATGGTGGATCGGCCAACGAGATCTGCCTAGGTGTGTCATGTGTGAGTTCCGAAGGGAACATAAATGGGTCCGGGCTGAAGTCTTACATAGAAAAGTCCGGCCTGCCGTATCGAGTCTTGAGCCTAGATAGTTATAACCTACATATTATAATTTAGGTGGAAGTTTAATGACAATTTCACATTTATTTTCACCAAAAGAAGTAAATCAAAGCAAATCAACTCCGTGCCTTTAACTTTCACAAGGCAAGTTTTAGAGATAGATCTTAAAGCACGATGTATTTTCAAAATTGACTTTGATTTGACATCAGGATTGTGCTACTTTACATTCCTTAAGTCTGAAAAAAGACATGCATTTCTTACCGAAGGGCAAAAAAATGTACATCGACGCTATGTACAAAAATGGCGAAACCTATACAGTCAGAGAAAGTGATAAAAGTAACAATAATTACTAAGAAAGTTGCAAAAAGAAGTGTAAATTGTATCCTTCGCGTTATTTTCTTTTATTTAGGTGAGCTCCTAACTAAATTTCCTGATTTCACGTCTGTCAATGACGAAGACAACACCCGGGCAGTTAACTAGCATCTTTTGGACAGGAATAACTCGTAATCGGGTTGTCGAT